TCACCATCGATGATAGCTCTGTGAGCTATTCTTGCCGTTTCACTGAAACGCAAAGATTAGTTCAAGAACGTGAATTGGGTCGCCCTGTTTTTCCAAAAGCCATTGGTGAACTTCATGGCCATTCTGGAATTGCGCGGCTATTGCTCTTCTACGCTCGTGGACTATTCGGGCTCGTGAATCATAGCCACGGCATGGGAGTGGCTAATGCCGGATTGGTTTACTTTAACAACAAACTTTTAGCCATGTCAGAAGATGATGTCCCGTATCAAGTTCAAATCTCGTCTTCTGGTGACCTTCAAACTGTTGGAAGGTACGATTTTGAGGAGCAATTAAAAAGCACAATGATTGCTCATCCGAAAATTGATCCTGTTTCGGGTGAGCTTTTTGCTTTGAGCTACGACGTAGTTCAAAAGCCTTACTTGAAGTACTTCATGTTTTCGACCGACGGGAAGAAATCACCTGACGTCGAAATCCCACTGGACGTCCCGACCATGATGCATGATTTTGCTATTACCGAGAATTATGTCGTAATTCCCGACCAGCAAGTTGTGTTCAAGCTTCAAGAAATGATCAAAGGTGGTTCACCAGTAATTTATGACAAAGACAAGAAATCCAGGTTCGGGATTCTACCCAAAAATGCTAAAGATTCGAAGAATATTATTTGGGTAGAATCACCCGAAGCATTCTGTTTTCATTTATGGAATGCTTGGGAAGAGCCAGAGACAGATGAAGTAGTTGTCATTGGCTCATGCATGACACCACCAGACTCAATTTTCAACGAATGTAATGAGAATTTACAGAGTGTTTTGTCCGAAATAAGGCTCAATTTGAAGACAGGCGAATCGACGAAACGGGCTATAATTTCATCATCAGAACAAGTTAATTTGGAAGCCGGAATGGTTAATAGGAACAAACTTGGTCGAAAAACACAATATGCTTATCTTGCAATTGCAGAGCCATGGCCAAAAGTGTCAGGATTTGCAAAAGTGGACTTATCAACAGGGGAAGTTCAGAAATATATGTATGGAGATAAAAGATATGGAGGTGAGCCATTATTTTTACCGAGAAACGTAAATTCTGAGAACGAAGATGACGGTTTTATTCTTGCATTTTGCCATGACGAGAAGACATGGAAATCAGAACTACAAATTGTGAATGCTATGACTCTAGAATTGGAGGCTACTGTTAAACTTCCATCTAGAGTTCCATATGGATTTCATGGGACTTTTATTAGCTCAAAAGACTTGCAAAATCAAGTATAGTACTACAAAATTATTATTCGTATATACGTAAATATTAAAGGGGTAGAAAATTATACTATAAGTGTGTTATAAAGGAGATATTCAGAAACCAAGCTTGAAGCTTGTAGGTGTGTAGGTAGGATTAGAAAGGCTCAGATGGTTTCTGTTATCTTTCTTTTCTCTTTTTGCCAAATACATTATTATGTGTTTTTTACACTTTTTTTTTTGGTCATTGTATATGAGTGAATATTTATACGTATTGGCAGTATTATACTAGTTGCAACAAGCTTGAAAATGATGTTCAACTTTTCTTATGTTTTTCTCTTGGATGGGGGCTTGCAAATTTTAACATAGGATTAGGTTATTTCCAAAAAAGTATACCTCTTGCATTATTTGGTTTATTAAGAACTGACCAAAATAAGGTAGTCGACAAGATAATCCACATGTAGGCAACCGTATGTTCCGAATCCATCAAGTATAAATTCTGAAAGAGTGTCATGTGTAATACATGATCACTTCATTCTTTCTACTACTTTTATTGTATTTGAGTTCTGTGAATGAACAACTTCTTGGTAAGAAACATTTTATCCTCTTTAGTAGGTGTATCTATTCTGAGACTAGATAAATCGAGCAAATGTAATTCGAATATGGAATGTTTAAAGAAAATAATTTCATAGGACGCTACGTGGTGTTTTTGATGGGACATTTCTTCTGATTTAAAGGCATTTCAATAATTTCATAAATAGAAGGAATAAGGTGTTATGAATCTTAGGATAGTTTTGCGTGAATTAGTCGAGTCATTATGATTATGTATACTCAAAAAATCTAAGTCATGAGACATATAGTCTTCTTGAGTGGACATTCCTTTTGATTTGAACGCCATTCAATAATTTATTAGCATGTGTTAAATTGATAGAAGGTCTAAGTTGCTATCAGAGTCTCCTATTTTGTTTGCTGCATATTTTAGTGCTCCATCTTTCATATATCCTTCAAATGGCCTTTTAGTTTTTATGGGTTCAAGATCTGAAATTTATGAGTTTAGTATTTTAATGTTTTAAGTTATGTTATTCTAAATTAATATTTCGGAATATACCCTTGTATTATGAGAAAAGATTTAAATATATCCCTCGTTATACTTTCGGTCCAAATATATCCCTGCCGTAATACTATTAATTCAAATATACCCTTCTTCCGTTAAATTTGTCCAAGGTGGAGATCCAATCCTACGTGGCATTAACATTTGATGAGGTGGATGTCACGTGGCTTGCCACCTCAGCGCCCCTAACCCATTTTACCCCTCCCTTCTATTTTTTTTTCCATCACTAAACTTTCCTTCCCCTCGAAGAAAATTTTAGTGGTGGAAAAACAAATATAGGGGAGGGGTAAAATGGGTTAGGGTCTCTGAGTTGGCATGCCACGTGGCATACCACCTCATCAAATGTTAGTGTCACGTAGGATTGGATGTCCACCTTGGACAAATTTAACGAAAGGTGGGTATATTTGAACCAATACTATTACAGTAGGGATATATTTGGACCGAAAGTATAACGAAGGATATATTTGAACCTTTTCTCATAGTACAAGGGTATATTTGGCCCTTCTCCATTAATAATTTGTGCATTATTTAATAATTTTTAAAACAATGTAAGGTTTGGACAAAAATTATTAGGTTCAGCCGTACTCGTATCTGGAGGATTAGCTTCGCCCCTGCTTGCATAGTATTAGGATTTCCCTAAAAATATTTGAAAAATCATGTCTCATGAATGCAATTGAGCTAAACAAAATAAAAGCAAACAGCATATTACAACAACAGCTATTATTATACCTCAACTTTTAAGTAAGTAGAAATCGATCGAGTATATGAATATTCACTAATTAATGTCATTGAAAAAATGCCAACACCTTCACAAGTTCGAAAATGCTACTCTTAACTTATTGTAATAATTAAAAATAGCACCAACTAGTGAAAGTAAGAAGAAGATCAAATAGTCCAAAGCAGTCTTCTAGGATGACGTTTACCTCTCAAGAAACATTAGGGACCTCATTTCATGACAATTGCATTTGTCGTTGGAAATGTTTTCTCTCTTATATAAGGCAGTCTTAATTAAACACTAAAATTTAATTTAAAAGTTGAAAAGAAATATTAGATTTAAAGCGTTCTCTACTAAACAAGAGATTAGATTCTTATAATTTTTATTTTTATAATAGGGGAAACAATGAGAAACAAAAAGTGGTCACAAATCTTGATTAATATCTCTAATTTCATGATATGTTCCCTTATTTCCTCTTTGTCTATGTATTGAATGGCGTTGTTCAATGCATCTTAAAGGTTCTTTCGGTATTGCCAATCTCCCATGTGATTCACACAACTACTTTCCTTATTTTGGGAGTGCCAACAATCATAGACAGAAAAATTAACCAATATTTGCTTTCTTTTTTTCTCATCTTTCGTTTTCTTTTCATGTTTTTGATTTTCTTTTCACTTTGCCAATTTTTTTTTTAAACTTCGAGTCGTCTTGCACAACTAGGATTCATTAAACTAAATGTGTATTGATAATTGATACATACGAATGGAGGCGATTTGTGAAATTTTATTTCAAATAACATTGAAATCATTTTCAGGTCAACATAGAAGAATGTTTGTATTCACAAATTCTCAAATAAGAATGTACATCATGCCTCAGCGTCCCTCTTTTTGGATTATTTTCTTTTTTCCCCTTTAAATAGATAAATCACATGTTAGGATCGAAATAATCAAGTATCATGAGAAGCTATAAAGCATATGTCTAATGACGATAAATCAAACAACAAAAGAGACACAAACATTTAACGTGGTTCAATCAATTGACCTTATGTCCACATTCAGATCGAGATGAACAATCCACTATATAAAAGAGAGTACGAGAGAACAACCTCACAATAAGACACACATAAGTGCCAGATTTGCACTTGTCACACAAATTCTCCCCCTAAATAAGGCTCTCAATTGCCATAAGAATACATAGTGAATGCTACTAAATGAGAAGAAAATATTTTTTTTATAGAAAATCAGGACAAAAAAACCAGATTCTTTCGATCCTAATACTACATTAATGCATCTTGTATTAGTAAATAAAACTCCTACTTTTTAGGTTTATCCTAGTCCTTAGGAAGTAGTTTAACGTGGTTTTTGTTATCAAGTTTTTAGGAGAAAATTTTATGTGGTAGTTCCTAATTTTAAGCTTAAGTTTGCTATGTTTTTTTGTTATAAAAAGACTGCAATTGCAGTATTGTAGTCAATCAGTCAAGCAATTTCTTTTTCACGTTTATTGCCTTTTTCTCTGCTCTATTTTTTACTTACAATCTACATCCTTCTCTGATTAATTTTTCTATCAGTGGTATGAGAACAAGGTTAGATCCCAAAAAAAAAATAAACCCTGTGAGAGAGAGAGTTTACTCAAAAATAAAAAAAATTATTCTTCATCTATGGCTTCAGAGAGCAATTTTGTGCAAACAACTATTCCCCGTTCTGATGGTCACTATGACCATTGGAGTATGCTGATGGAGAATTTCTTACGGTCAAAAGAGTATTGGTCAATTGTTGAAGATGACATTAAAGCGTTAGCAGTAGGCGAAACTTTGACGGATGCTCAAAAGAATCAGTTTGAAGCAAGAAAGTTGAAAGATTTAAAGGCAAAAAATTATCTCTTTCAGGCTATTGAGCGTCCCATCTTGGAAACTATTCTTTGAAAAGAAATTTCCAAGGATATATTGGATTCCATGAAGAAAAAGTATCAAGGCTCTACAAATGTGAAGCGGGCACAACTTCTAGCCTTGAGGAGGGACTTCGAAACCTTGCAGATGAAGGAAGGAGAATCCGTCACCAACTACTGTGCTAGAACCATGGAGATATGCAACAAGATGCGATTCCATGGTGAGAACATGGGCGACGTCGTAATAGTGTAAAAGATATTGTGCTCTCTGACACCAAAGTATGGTTATGTCATTTGCTCTATTGAGGAGTCAAAAGACATAGATGTCTTATCGCTTGACGTATTGCAGAGCTCCTTATTGGTGCATGAGCAGAAGATGAACCGTAGTTCAAATTACGATGAGCAGTCTTTGAAGGCTTCTACTTTTATTTCTTCTCCCAATTCTAGAGGAAGGGGTGGAGGTAGAGGTCGAGGCAGAGGAAGAGGAGATCGTGGAGGTAGAGATTCCGGTAGGAATTTCAAAGCAAATAATGATCAATCTCAAGGTAAAGTCAGAAGTCGAGATTATGACAAATCAAAGATAGAGTGCTATAGATGTCATAAATTTGGTCATTACGCATGTGAATGTTATACTAGGCTGCCTAATTACAAATAAAAGGAAGAGAAGTCCAATTACGCGGAGAACAAGGAAGGAGAGACCTTGTTTATGGCAATTCAAGTAGAGAAGGAAACCGAGCAAGATGTTTGGTATTTAGACACAAGCTGTACTAATCACATGACTGGAAGTAAGTCTGGCTTTTCTTACTTAAATGAAGACTTCCATTCTAAAGTTAGTTTTGGTGATTGTTCTACTGTGGATGCAACGGAAAAAGGTGACATCAAGATTAAAACCAATAATGGTTTTGTGGAAACAATCTCTAATGTGTTATATGTTCCTGATTTGAAAAGCAACTTACTGAGTGTTGGTCAGTTGCAAGAGAAAGGCCATGTCCTCACTATTAAGAAGGGTAAGTGTGAAATTTATGACCCTGTAAGAGGAGCTATAGAGATAATTCAGATGAGTTCCAACAGATTATTTTCGATAATGATTGATAGTATGCAATCTTGTTTGATGACGGAAGTGAAGGATCCCTCATGGTTGTGGCATTTTTGTTATGGTCATTTGAGTTTTGGAGGATTGAAGAAACTTTAGGAGAAGAACATGGTCACAGGTTTTCCTCAAATTACTGCTCCTCAAATGTGTTGTTGGCAAACAACACCGATCTCAATTTGTAACAATCTAATTGGTCGTTTTAAATAATTGCACTTCGCTCGCCAGTTCTCGGGCATGACTAGCTCCGTATGATGTGTTATGACTTATGTAAATCGTCGGGTTTAGTTTTCAGGACACTCGGAATAGATTTGGAAGAACAATTCTCAGCTTGAAGCTTTAAATTTGAAAGGTTTGACCAAGTTTTGACTCTTTAGTATTCAATCTCGAATTTGAATTTTTATGATTTGGTTAGCTTCATTAGGTAATTTTGGACTTGGGAGCGCATCTGGAATGTGATTTGGAGGTCCGTGATAGATTTAGGCTTGAATTGGCGAAATTAGAAATTTGGAGTTTCAGGTAGGCAGTGGAAATCTTAATATCGGGGTCGGAATAAAATTTCAGAAGTTGGAGTAGGTTCGTAGTATCATTTGTGCAGTGTGTGCAAAATTTCAGGTCATTCGGACGGAGTTTGATAGGTTTCAGCGTTATTCGTGGAATTTGGAAATTTAGATGTTCTTAAACTTGAATCCGAGGTTGATTTGGTGTTGTGATGTTGTTTAGAGTGTTCCAAAGGTTCGACTAGGTTTGTGTGTTAATATATGACTTGCTGGTGCTTTTGGATGAGGTCCCGAGGGCCTCGGGATGAATTTAGTTGGTTGACGGAAGAGTTGGAATTGAGTTGGTGAAGCTGAAATTTGCTGCTTATATTATTTCCACTCCTGCGGATTTAGGACCGCAGGTGCGAGGTCGCAGATGCATGAGGAAGGCCGTGGATGCGGTTTTGGACTAGTTGAAGCTTGATCGCAGGTGCGGCGATTTTATCGCACCAGCGGGGCCGCATGTGCGATGTTGTAATTGCAGAAGTGATTTCTGGGCATAAGTGGGAGCCGCACTTGTGATGAATCTTCCGCAGGTGCAGCATCACAGAAGTGACATTTTGACAGCAGATGCGGTACCTCTGGGCAGAAAGTATAAATTGTAGACTTCGCAGATTTTAGTTCATTTTCCACCATTTTTAGTCGGCTTTGGAGCTTTTGTGAGCGATTTTGAGGAGGAATTCAAGGGTTTATCAGTAAGGTAAGTTGCTTGAGCACTAATACTCGTATATGTGATAATTTTTCGTTGTTTAATCATGTAATTTATGAAGATTAGGGGTGAAAATGAGGTGTTAGGACTTGAGATTTTTGGAGAGTTTGATTAAGGACTTGAGGGGTCAAATTGAGTCGGATTTTGATAAATTTGGTATGTATGAACTCGTGAGAGGATAAGGATTTTAGTTTTGTGATTTTTATCGGATTTTGAGATGTGGGACAGGGGGTCGGGTTTGGCCAATTTCGGGAATTTTGATTAAATTTGATAATTTTCGCGTGAGCCTTGTTCCTTTAGCATGTATTGATGATATGATTCTGATTTTGGATAGATTCGGGATGATTTGAGGCCGAGTTGAGCTGCAACGGCATCACGATGTAGATTTTCGTCCGGTTGAGGTAAGTAATTATGGTAAATGTTGTCCTGAGGGTATAAAACCCCGGATTTCACACTGTTTCACTACTTTGAGGTGATGCACAAGCTAGATGACGAGCGTGGGGTCATGCACCGTTGGGGATTGTGACTTGGTCCATCCTGTACGACTATTATGTCACGTATTTGATTGAAAACTATTTGATATAAGGAACAAAGCAAGAGACTCCAAGAAAACAAACTAAATCATAGATAGGAAAGTTTCCCTACAAAGGGGCTGGCTTCAACAACCCATAAGGGATGGCTTGCCAAGCTACACAAACAGTTAATTTGTTTATAGTCGCAAAAGTGTTCCTACAAATGGGCTAGATTCAACAACCCATAAGGGACGGTTTGCCAAACTACACAACTCAAAAAACTTTTGTACTATAACAAACGTTAGTTGTTTATAACTCAGAAAAATTTCGTACTACAATAAGCTAACTTTCAAAGAGTATTCTTAATCTATTTTCATACATGGACCAGCCTTTCCATCCATTCGAAAGAAAGAATAAGAGGGAAATTTAGAAAGCACTCATATGTAATATATCACAAAAGATTTACAAAGGTTACACTATGATCCTACAACTACTACAAGGCCTCCTTTATATAGGACTAGGAGGGTTTTACAGGACAAACTTTCATGATAAAATAAACCTATCTTACATGGCAAACTTATCTACAAGCGGGTCCCTCTTGGCATGTGAAGGACTTTAGGCAAAACAACTGAAAAACACCTGAAAACATGTGAAAGGGGTGAAATATACATGGTGTAGCATGTGAAAGTATGAGGGAGCATGTGACGCCATGTGAAAGTATTGTGTTGCATATGACGAAGCATGTGGAGGCATGTGGAAGTATGTGAAAATAAGTAGAAGTGGGGCCCGGATAGTATGGAAAGATGTGGGAATTTGTCTTGGCATGGGTAGGATATTTTTGAGGAATATTTGGGCAGGTAATGTAGGATTATGGTGGTATTAGCAGGGATTTAGATAATTATCCTTCATTGATTCTAGGGTTGTCTTCTAGGCATCTTTTCAAAGACCTTGTGTAGTAATGCCTGAAATTTGACGGTCCTTCTCCACTGTGTTCTTTCTCCTTTGGATTGAGAGATGTAATCCGTAACTTTAATCTGGAAATGTCGTGAGTGATCTTTTCTCGGATGACATCGTATGGGGTTTGATATTCTTTTACTACTTTCTGGACTCGTTCCTAGTGAGGATGAGTGTTAGTATAATTCCAGCTTGCCCAATCTTTTGGCCATATCTCTCTCGGGATGCACCTATTTTGCTGGAAAAGGATTCTTTATGCCTCACTATATTCCTCCTCCATTGATAAAGTGGACACGAGAAATTTCCGCTAGAATGATGCCTCTGCTTGCACCTGGACTTTTCCATTAATAATCTTCACTGGCATGTGGAACACAAATACCTTTGTTGTATAGGAATCGTTGAAATATTTTATCCGATATCTTATAGGTTTGAACCATAGCAAAAATACTTTAAGGTCTGGTGCAATGTTATCAAAATCCTTGAAGACGTTACATTTGAATTCTATGAAAATTTGATACTGATGACATAGGTACCAGAAAAACCATAATAGTTCTTGTGAAAAATCCTTGGCTTGAGCTATGAATATATGGTAGAACAGATATTCTGGATTGACTCCATATGGCTTGAGAATGGATCCTTCATGTTGCCGGAAAACTTGGAGCTCATAATGAGTTTTTCTTTCCATAATAATTGACGGGTCAAAGGGATCCATGTGGTTGAACAACTCCGGTGGATGGTTTGTTGGCTTTGATGAACTCGTTCCTGGTATACTTGAGAGCATGAAGATGTGGCTGATCAGCTTTTGCTTTGGCTTCAGTTTTGCTGGGGAAAATCTCTTTGAGAATTCTTCCGGTCGAGATAGAAAATTTGCGAGAATATTATTCTTTCCTTTCAGGTGCCTGACTTGAAATTTGTATGGAGAGAACCATTGAGCCCACTTGAGAATCTGAGGATTGGGAATAATTTTTGCATTTAGCTGAATCATCTTTGGGAAGGCCTTCATATCCATCTCTATTAGAAATTCTGTATGAATAAGGAAGAAATTAAATTTCTTGATTCCATTCTTTACTGCAAGAATTTCCTTGAAAGTGGAGTGATAATGTTGCTAGGCATCTTTGAACTTTCCACTGGCGTATCCGCATATTTTCCTCTGGCCATCTTTTTCTTCAAATAGAACAACACTCCAATATTCATTGTTGGCATCAGTTTGCAATATCTTCTTATTGTCTGAAGGGATATAGAGGGACTTGACCTTTTTAGAAATCTCCTTTATTTCCTTGACTGCTTCATCTTGTTTCTTTCCCCATGGCGGAGCATTTTTCTTGAGCATCTCTGTGAGTGGATAAATGTATGTAGAGATATTTGGGATGAAATCTCTCGCATAATTTACTATGCCCAAGAATTGTTGGATCTGCGTTGTTGTGAGGATGGTATCCAGAAATTTGAATAATTCCTGACATATATGTGGTCCTGGACTGTATTCACCTTGGACAAAATGCATTCCGAGAAAATCGATCTCTTTTTGAGCAAGAACCATCTTTTTTGCTGAAAGCATGATCCCGTACTGTGTTACCAATGCCTCAAATTGACATGTTCTTCTAATGTATCACTAAATAACAATATGTCATCAATGTAAACTAAGGAGGTATAGAGGATGGATTGGAATATTTTTAGCATGGCTTTTTGGAACAAGGAGGGTGCAGTTTTCAACCCGAAGGGCATGACTTTCTATTGGAAGTGATGATCGGGGATGCAAAATCCCGTTTTAGGTCTTTCTTCAGGGTAGATTCCCAATTTCCAAAATCCGGATTTTGAATCAAACTTGGAAAAATATTTGGCCTTGGCTAAGTGGGAGAAAATGGTGAGTTTATTTGGGATAGGAAACTTATCATCTTGGAGGAAATGGTTAAGTAGCTGGTAGTTGATGACTAACCTGAGTTTTCCTCTTGTCTGTTCAGCTCTTTTGTTGATATAAATTGCTTCCCATTCCCATTGTGAATCTTATGGCTCTATCAGATCAAATTCCAAAAGTTCTTCACATTCTTTCTTTGCAAGCTGAAGATGGTCTGGATTCATCCCTAGATAGCTGGCTTTTGTTGGATTGATATTTTCATTCTTGTTGAAAGGGAGCTTGATAAAAAACTCTTCATTTTTCCATAACGGGTGTTTCCCTTTATTCATGAAATTCTTGTGGGATTGAGCACATGAATGTTCAATGAGATTTTGCTCAATCTCTTTGATTTGTTCGTCGTCGGTGATTTGGAATAGCCTTGGAATCTCAGAATAAGCTCTGAACTTCTTTTTAAAAGCTATCCCGTTAGCCTTGATTTGGAGTTGTCTGTAAATGTCGAATCCAATAATAAGATCCTTTCTTGGTACATCAGATCC